GTAAGGCACCGGGTGCCCGTCGCGGCCCTTCGGTTTGGGTCGTGACAAAAGTGGTATAAGAGCAGTTCTGTCCTAGGGAGTCTACAAGCCGTGTCTCGTAGAGTCTTGTTTATGGGTGTGTTGTGCACCACACTTATATGCAGGAGGCTACAGGGCATTTAGGACTGTCACTCTTTCTTCTTATTCTAGATCGTGTGGTAGAGCTCAGTTGTAAGAATTCAAACTCCTTAATTCGACTTTAGTTGTAATACAACGATACCTTCATCCACAAAGACAGTTGGTAAGAGATTGAATGTGGCTCTGGAAGAGCTGAGTTAGAGAAACTCAATTTTGCATCATGCTTATAATGAGTAAATGTAAGGTCTTCGGTAGATTATGTGTGTACTAAGATGTGTAAGCTTCTTGATAAGGAGCCCTAAAGCATGGATATCTATCCACCGATATGGTAAAAAGCAATAAGAGAATTAGAGGGTAGATACAAATTTCAACAAGCAAAAGAAGCAAGGTGAAGAAGGGTACGAGGTATCCAGTTATTGAAGATTATCAGTTTTTCCAATTCAGGCAGAGAGACATAAGTATTATGAGTTACTTTCAACAATAACAGAGATCTATTCAATTGGCCACACCCATCTCAGTTGTGCCCTATGGGAGCTAACATATATTATTTAAGAGAAATATGGGATATCAGGATTCGATTGGAGTTAGAGTGACCCAAAATAGTGGATAGATTGTTAGCATTAGCTGACATTTTTGAAGGATATTGCAAATGTGGTAACAGTTCTCCTTGTGAGACAACTCGACGGTGCACTCTAGAATAGTACATTTAGATATGAAATACTAGAATGTCCAGAAAATTTAGATGATCGGCNTAACAAGTACCAAAAGGGTTGGAAAGCTTAGTCGCTAAACGAATTGAAGAAAATAAGTTTCGTCAAAAATCGACAAGTTTGGAATGTTATAACATATTCTTTTGGGGTGAGACTAGGGTGATTAACATGATGAGGAGGTTAATTTATGAGTTATTGTAGTCGTATGATAGTCGTGTGTTATGTTTTTAAGTCAAACGAGTTATGGAACAAAAAATAGAAAAGATCATCACAAGTTGCATTCATAATATGCTGAAATTTAGGTCAAATGTAGATGCACTTTTCTCCCAATATACTTGGAATCAATGGATGATCTACATATCAAATTGAAGATCTACGAGTCTAATTTCCAACACATTAAACCGTTCATCAATACGACATCGGAGTAGAGAGATATTCGCATTTTCGCGAGACCGCGCAAGCAGCTCCCAATGGGACCCACTTAGGCGGTGGTCGACCTACTTCAATTTATAAACGATTTGGACGCCTATTTTTCACTTATTTTCAACTCAACTTCGTCTCCAAACTTCTCCTAACCCTTCTAAACAGATTCCACAAGTGTTTGAAGTGATTCCAAAGTGATTACACCATATCTCAACATCAAAACTTAGCTCTAGTGAAGAACAACACCTCTTTGAGGTTGTGTTGTCATTGAGGATTGTTGTGGGCTGTATTTGGATGAAATTCCAAGTTGTTGCCGCTGTATAGGTGAGTATAACAGCCTACTAATTGTGCTTAAGCTTGCTTGTATGTTGGTTAAGTTGTTAGGATGATAAACTACAAGATAGTACTTGGATTAGCTTAAGTCACTTCTATGGTGTTGTATTGCTATTGAGGGTTGTTGTGAGCTGAATATAACTTGGATTTCGACTTGAAGTTACTATAGGAGTTGTGTGTATTGTGTTCTTGCATGTGCTTAAGGTTATCTTGATGTTGATTAAGTTAAATGGATGGAGTAGACATGAACTAGTGAATAAAGCTACTAATTGAAGATAGTTGGAGTTGAGGATTGTTTCCTTTGTTATAAATATATGGTATAAGGATGGAATCATTGATGAATGACTTCATTATCATGTTAATGATAGTTTTAAATTAATGTAAGAAGTCTATAAGGGGTGATATGGGTTATACAGATTCCAATCGGAGCTTGCCGCTCGTCGTGAAGTAGTTGTGAGTTGTTGTTGTTATATGGTGTCTTGTTATTGATATTTATAGGTTGCTGGACTTCCCTGGCTGTTGTTGTTGGTATATGGTATTGGAGGAGGCCCTTGTTACAAGGGAGATGCTGCCCGAATTTACGTAGACGAGCTACTAGCTTAAGTTACAGACTTAGCCTTTGCTCAACACTGATTTTGAATCTCCTTATGCTATGATAGATCGAGTTGACTTGTTTGAAGAGTTGCTTAGAAGGTATTAAGGACTCAACATGTTTAAGGTATGTTAAGGCTCTTCCTTCATTCTTTTGGCATGATCTAAAGTGAAACGAACATAAACGATACGCTATTTCATAATGAATCTACTCCTAGCAACTAAGGTTGTCCATGTTATTCTTTCCTTACAAAGTTATTCCAAGAAAGTATATATGATCCTTGAGTCCTAGTGAAGTTCATATTGATGGTATGATGTCCATAATGTTAATCGATGGTGCAATGACCTTATGTCACTCCAAAAGGTTTAGAACGTGACTCCATGAGTTCAGCATGCATTATATATTTATCTACTTTACTCTACCGAGCCGCGCTATAGTCGGCCGGGTATGGCACCTATTGTGCAACCACTGATCAGTTGGGTTTACCGAGCTCCACGTGGACGGGTACGATTCTACCGAGCCTTACGATGGCCGGGTACATTTTTACCGAGTCCTCTTTGAGGCCGGGTATGATATGATGATGATGATGCCCACAGAGGCGTATGTTTTTAAAAGCTTATGTATATATATGTATTATGCATTTCATGTCAGTAGCCCCCAGAGGCACTCAGATGTTATAGGTTGTATCTCCTCTATCTCTCTTTACGTTACTGATCTTGTTTATGCTTTCCTGCCTTACATACTCGGTACTTTATTCGTACCGACGTCCCTTTTGCCTGGGGACGCTGCGTTTCATGCCCGCAGGTCCCGATAGACAGGTTGACATTCCTCCTAGTAGGCTATCAGCTCAGCGAAGGTGTTGGTGTACTCCACTTGCTCCGGAGTTGCCTATTTGGTCAGTATGCTTTGGATATGTATTGATTGGTATGGTGGGGCCCTGTCCCGACCTTTATGATTTTATGTACTCTTAGAGGCTTGTAGATAGATGTCAGGTGTATGGATACTTGTATTGCCTTGTCGGCCTATGTCTTGAGTTTACAAATGGTCATGTCGGCCTTATAGGCCCGTATGTCACATGTATAAGTTTGTATATCATGTTCGGTCATCATATGTTGAGTATTCCCTTATGTTTTATTCTTGTTATCTCATGACATGTTTTCTATCTCATTTACCCTTGGTAGTATGATAAGAAAGATATGTTACGTTGGTACTCAGTTGAGTAAGGCACCGGGTGCCCGTCGCGGCCCTTCGGTTTGGGTCGTGACATTGATCCTCTCTAATTGTAGTTCAAAGTTTCTCCAAATAGCTAAAAATAACAACCTAGCAGCTGCTATAATGATACGATGCCCTAAAATAGTCATAAAGTCCTATTTACAGGGCTCCCATATTCTCTAACAAAAATGCCCTTCGGAGGGTTCTGCGGCTGCAGTTCAGCTTTTGCAGTTCACACTCTAGCTGGGTTGATAATGATGTACTTTCAATAGGAGGAGCTCGGCGGTCGCACTTTAGCTTTTACGGTCGCACTTGAATTTCTGCAGGTCACATTTGAGGAGGCTTTAGACTTGATTAATTGCACATTCTCTGATCTTTCAAGCTTTGTCAGTGCAAACCTGTTTTGTAGACCAAGTGCGACCACACATTTTGGTCTGCAGACCGCACTTCTGTCTATAATCCTTGAAGCTTCAGTTCTTCTTCTGTGGCCGTATTTCATCTTCTGCAGACCGCACTTGCTTTTGCATCTGTAGTTGAAATTCTACGAACCACACTTTTCTTAGCATTTCTCCTCTTTGTTGAACTTGGCTAGAACATATCCTTTTTGAGTTGTTTCTCTTCATTGAGCTCACATTCTCCAACACACCTGCAATTCAACTATTTCTATTAGATTCAGAGACAAAAATCATTACTTTCGGACTAAAAACTATAGCAAAAAGGTACTAATAAGTGGTTAAAAATCACACTTATCACTAATCATGTAATTCGAATAATCACTACAACTCAATAACCTATTTCAATATGTATAATCTAATCATATAGTTACAGGATCTAATCCTCCACGAAAAGTAAGAAATTCTGCATATTTTGACCATGATTTAACATGAGTAATTAAGCCATACAACCACAAATCATGAAGCATAGTCATAGAATCAAGTGAAACATGGATAATAATTTCACATAAATCTAAACAAAGAATATCACAAGTCAATCCATACCGGATATGGTCATAAGCTAGATATGCATATACGCTCGTCACCTCACATATACGTGGCTCCTAAATCAAGTAACAAGTAGAAAATAGATTATCTATGGAGAGAATTCCCTCCTACAAGGATACACAAGAGACTTACCTCAGCCCTGTAAGCTTTAGATCAATCAACAACCACCTATTCGTCCAAGTCCAACTCCAAACGACTCGAATCTAGTCAAATATAACTCAATAGTGTCAAACAAAGCTATAGGAATTAGTTCCAAACAATAAAGCTTCAAACTTTAATCAATCCCCAAAATTCAACAAAAGTTAATTCGGCCCCACATGGTAAAAACCCGAATCTAAGGGTAGATCCCAACCATCCATAATCTCACGAGTTCAAATATATGAAGTGCGAGTTCTAGTTGGAATCGGTTGCCTTTTAGGCCATGTTGTATCTTCCGAGTGCATTAAGGTGAATCGTAACAAGATTGAGGTAGTTTAGACTACCTAGACCTACTTCGACTATAGAGATTCGGAGCTTCTTGGATTTTGCGAGTTATTATCGCTGGTTCATGGAGGGGATTTCATCAATCTTAGCCTCGTTGACCAAGTTGACCCAAAAGGGTGCTCTTTTCAGATGGCCCGACGAGTGCGAGATGAGCTTTCAGAAGCTCAAGACTACATTGGCTACAACCCTCGTGTTAGTGGTAACAACCCAACCGGTCGTTTGAGCTCTAGCATGTCGTTCAGAGTTTTGAGGCCTTGAGTAGCTTCACTTCATGTATTATGACTTACACGTATGGTCGGAATTGAATTTTGGAAAGTTCGAAGTTGATTTTAAAGAAAATTCTCATTTTAGAAGCTTTAAGTTGGAGGTTTGACAAAGGTTTGACTATTTAGTAAACGATCTCGGAATTGGGATTTGAAGGTTCCAACAGGTTTGTATGATGATTTTGGACTTGGGCGTATGTCCGGATAAGGTTTTGGATGACCTGGAAGCTTTTCGGCGCCTATTGTGGAAAGTTGGCATTTTGGAAGAATTTTATAAATTTGGGTTGAAGTGTATTTTAATGTTATCAATGTCCATTTGGGATTCGGAGCCAAGGAATAGCTCCGTGTGGTGATTCTGGTCTTAGGAGCGCGTCCGGATGTGGATTTGGAGGTCCGTAGGTCATTTCGGGGTCATTTGGCGAAAGTTAAAAATTTGAAGGTTTTTGGGAAGTTTGACCTGGGGTGGACATTTTTATATCTGGTTCCGATTCCGATTCCGGAAGTTGGAGTGGGTCCGTAATGTCAAATGTGACTTGTGTGCAAAATTCGAGGTCAATCGGACATGATTTGATAGGTTTCGGCATCAAATATAGAAGTTTGAAGCTCTAAAGTTCATTAAGCTTGAATTGGGGTGTAATTCATGATTTCCATGTTATTTGGTTTGATTTGAGGCCTCGAGAAAGTTCTTGTCATGTTTTGGGACAGGTTGGAGTGATTGGATGGGATCCCGAGAGCCTCGGGGGTGTTTCGGGTGTTATTGGATCATTTTGGGCTACTTTAGATGCTGGTTTGCTCATGTCTAGTGTTGTTCTTCGTATTCGCGAGGAGCCTCTCGCGTTCGCGAAGAAGGTTTTTGCTGCTGGGACTTTGTTCTTCGCGTTCGCGAAGAGATTCTCGCGTTCGCGAAGAAGGAATTCGTGTTGTCCGTCGTCCGATTTTGGAAGCTTATATCTCGCAATCTATAAGGAATTTGGAGATGATCCAAAGATGCAAGTTGTAGCACTTTGTGTCTAGTTTTCATAAAATCAAACCATTTGGAGTTTGGAGTTTTGTACGAAAAGTTATGGTTGGTACACTACAGGTTGTCCGGGAAGATGTTTGGAAATCGCGAAAAAGAAATTTGTATTGCATAGGGCTAACTTTGGCAGCTTATATCTCGAAATCTATAAGGAATTAGGAGATGACCAAAACATGAATGTTGTAGATCTTGGTGTCTAGTTTTCAGAAATTTAAACCATTTGTCATTTGGAGTATTGTAAAAAAGTTATTACCATTATACTAGAGGCTGTCTGAGAAGAGTTTGGAAATAGCTTTTGAAAATTTTGTGCACCGCGAACGCGATGGGAGGCTCGCGAACGCGAAGAAGGAAGTCGGGGAAGTGTTATAAGTCCTCTATTTCGGACCTTTGAGCCATTATTTCGTATTTTTAGTTGAGAACCTCGGGATTTAGCGAGTTTGGAGAGGAATTTCACCACAAACTTGGGGTAAGCATTCTTGACTCACTTGTGATTATATTTCATGGATTAATCTTCATTTTCGGCATTAGATTATTGATTTTTCAATAAGAAAACGGAATAAATTTCTATAATTTTACAAAGAAATTTTTGAGTGTTGAATACCGATACGGAGTCTGATTTGAATGAAATTAGTATGGTTGAAATCGTAATTGAATGGGTTGTCAGATTTTGTGAGTTTCGTCGGCATCTGAGACGTGGGCCCCACCTCCAACTTTTCGAGCGGAGTTGGAAATTTTTATAAATTGTTAAATTTCAAGCATTGGAGTATAATTTTTGATTAATTTGCACGTTGTTTGACTAGTTTCGGATTGAACGGCACCAGCTTTAGAGCGAAATTATGACCAGAAAGTGGGCTTTAAGACGAGGTAAGTCTCTTGTCTAACCTTGTAAGAGGGAATTCAATCCATAGGTGATTTGAATTATTGTTTGCTACTAATTGTGGGGGCTACGTACGTACGAGGTGACGGGAGTCCATGCATAGCTACTAATTATGCTTATGTCCGGGTAGTCTTAGGTTTACACCATGCCTTGTTGACACCGTTATTTGATTATGCTTATTATTTGCCTTGAATAGAGCTGGGATTAAGGATTTCAGGATTTAAAAGTTTTCAGTTTGAATTTCTTATTCTTGGAAAAAATTGAGGAATATTACGATAACTTTGAGAAATCTATGTTCACTCGCGTTGCAAGTATATTCCACAAGCGAGGTAAATTCCACTACTCTCATGGGAGCGGGGCGTTCGCCTCGGTAGCTTAATAAATGCATCTATGGTTCGTGTCATCCGACCCTCGGCAACGCACAGTTTATATATTTGTATGTTGGATCGGGCCGTACGACCTCGGCATAATTTGTGCATAGAAGCCCAATTGTAATTGATATTGTTTCATTGGCTTGAGAGATTAATTTGTTAAATGATGGAAATTAATTTGGGATTTACCATAGTGAAAGAATTGTTTATGTAGTTTTTGTTATTGAGTTTTCAGCTGTATTTACATAATCCATGCTTAATTATAATTTCGGTACTTTATTGTTAGCCCATGGTAAGTGTCGAAGTCGACCCCTCGTCACTACTTCTTCGAGGTTAGACTAGATACTTACTGGATACGTGTTGATTTACGTACTCATGCTACACTTGCTGCACATTTTGTGTAGGTACATATATGTTTAGTGGTCTTGTGGGCGTAGAGGCACGGCTATTGCGGAGACTTACGGTGAGCTGTATTCCATGTACGAATCCGCAACATACAGAGTCCCCATCAGAGTTATTTACATTCTCCTGTCTAATTTGTATTCTAGACAGGTGTTGTATGTTATCATATTTCCTAGTTGATGCTCATGCACTTGTGACACCGGGTCTTGGGGGTTCCTACTGGGGGTTTGGTATGGTAGTTCACGTAACTATCATTGTTTCATCCTGTAAATTCTATTTCATATTATTTAATTAATGGAAATATGATTACAAAAGTAATTAAAAAATGAGTAACTAAGTGGATCAATCAACATTGGCTTGCTTGATGGCGGTGTTATGCGTCATCACGACCTATAGTGGATTTTGGGTCGTGACCTTAGTGTTGCATATAGGCTCGGGATCTTACACTGTGTATTATGATGCGTTGTGTATTTTTCTTAGTGTGGTGTTAATGCAGGACGGTAGGGTGATTGCCTACGCATCTCGGTAGTTGAAGGTTCATGAGAAGAATTACCTTGTGCATGATTTAGAGTTGGCAGCCATTGTTCATGTGCTGAAGATTTGGAGGCACTATCTATACGATGTTCCATGTGAGGTATATACCGACCATCGGAGTCTCCAGCACATGTTCAAGCAGAAAGACCTTAATTTGTGAAAGCGGAGATGATTAGAGTTGTTGAAAGACTATAATATAACTATATTACATCATCCGGGGAAGGCCAATGTGGTGGTCGAAGCATTGAGTAGGAAGGTTGAGAGCATGGGTAGTTTGGCATATTTACCGGTAATGGAGAGGCCACTAGATATGGATGTTAAGGTTTTGTCAATCGATTTGTGAGATTGGATATTTTGGAGCCCAATCGGGTTCTTACTTGTGTTGTGGAACAGTCCTCATTGTTGGAGCGTATCATGGCTCACCAGTTTGATGATCCTCACTTGTTGGTGTTGAAGGACACGGTGCAGCGGGGTGGTGCTAAGGAGGTTGCAGTTGGTGATGATGATGTTATGCGGCTTCAAGGCCAGATTTGTGTTCGTAATATTGATGGATTGAGAGAGTTGATCCTCGAGGAGGCTCATAGTTCGCGCTATTCCATTCACCCAGGTGACACGAAGATGTACAGTGACTTGAAACAACACAATTGGCGGCAGTGAATGAAGAAACATATTGTTGCTTATGTATCTCGGTGTTTAAATTGTCAACAACTGAAGTACGAGCATCAGAAACTTGGTGGATTGACTCAGAGATTGGAGATACTTGAGTGGAAGTGGGAGTGCATCACTATAGTGTGGTAGGCTTACCATGGACCTTGAGGAAGCATGACACAGTCTAGGTTATATGGAACGGCTGACTAAGTCTGCACACTTCATTCTGGTGATGACTTCCTATTCTTCATAGCGGTTGGCTCAGATTTACATTCCGGAGATTATCCGACTGCACAACGTGCCCATTTACATTATTTCTTACCGAGGTACGCCTTTTACATTACATTTTTGAAGAGTCGTGTAGTGTGAGTTGGGCACGCGTGTCGAGCTTAGTACCTCATTTCATTCTCAGATGGACGGAAAGTCCAAGCACGCTATTCGGATCTCGGAGGTCATGATATGTTCTTATGTTATTGATTTCGGAGGTTCATGGGACCAGCTTTTACCTCTAGCAGAGTTCGTCAACAGCAATAGTTATCAGTCCAGTATTCAAATGGTGTAACGACCCGACCAGTCATATTTGAGTATTTTAGCCCTGTTCCCCTATTTAATGCCTCCTCTATGTTATATTGTGGTTATGTGACATGTCGGGTGGTTGGTTTGGTTTCGGGTGAGGTTCGGATTAAAATGGGTCACTTAGTCCCAAAGTTGGAAGCTTAAGTTAAAAGAGTTGATCGGAGTTTGACTTTTGCGTAGACAACTCCAAAATGGAGTTTTGATGGTTCTAATAGCTTCGTATGGTGATTTTAGACTTAAGCGTATGTCCGGATATAGATTTGGAGGTCCGTAGGCCATTTTGGCTTGAATTGGCGAAAGTTGGAAAGTTGAACATTTGGAAGAATGAGAAGTTAGACCGAGAGTTGACTTTATTTATATCGGGTCCATTTCTTAGTTTCGGAAATTGGAATAGGTCCATTGTGTCAATAATGACTTGCGTGCAAAATTTAAGGTCAATCGGAATTGGTTAGGAGTGTTTCGGCATTAGTTTTAGAAGTTAGAAGTTCATAAGTTCATTAGGCTTGAATCGATGTGCGATTCGTGGTTTTAGTATTGTTCAATGTGATTTAAGGCTTCGAGCGAGTTTGTATCAAATTTTAGGACTTGTTGGTATATTCGAACGGGGTACCGAGGGCCCCGGGCGTGTTCCAAATGGAGTTCGGACCATTTGTTCTTGAAATGGGATTGCTGGGTTTTTGAGTTTCTGGTTTCCTTCATCGCGTTCGCGAAGATTATACCGTGATCGCGTAGAGACTTAGTGAGTGATGGAGTTTTACTCTTCGTGTTCACAAAGACAGGGATGTGATCGCGATGGTTAGGGAGCTTTTGCATCGCGAGCGCGTGCGTGGAACCGCGTTCGCGTATAAGGAAGGAGAGGCAGTGGGGAGGCATGCGATGTTCTTCACGTTCGCGTGGCCTGGAACACGATCGTATAAGCTGAGGAACGCTAGTCACCGCCTTCGCGAATGAGTTCACGTGATCGCGTAAGAGGTTTTGTGAGATGAGAGAAATTGTTCACTACGATCGCGATTGCTTTTCCGCAATCGCGTAAGGCAATAACTGGGTAGCAGTATATTATTTCCAAATCAAGGGTTTTGTTCCATTTTCATCTTTCGTGCTAGAGACCTCGGTTTTGGGTGATTCTTGAAGATATTTTCAAGGAGTTGATCGGGATAAGTGATTCTAACTCGAATTCGACAATTATACATGAATCCATCATTGTTTTTCCCATTTAATTAGTATTTCGCATTGGAAAAATTGGGATTTTTTTGAAAACTTCATAAGCTATATTTGGAGGATTTGAAAGGCGATCGGAGGCTGGAATTGAATAATTTTAGAAGGGTTGGACGTATATAATCGGTGTTCGAATTTTGTAAGTTTGGTCAGGTTCCGAGATGTGAGCCCGGGGTTGAGTTTTTGTTTTTCTTTAAAAATTACAACTTTTTTGTCCGGAATAGTTTTCTATAGTTTGTGTGTATGTTATAAAGTTATTTTGGCTAGAATAGAGCCGTTCGTAGTTTGATATTCGCGGAAAAGGTTTACTAGTGGATTGAGTTAGCGTGTTTTGAGGTAAGTGTCTTGCCTAACTTTTTGGGGGGAGGGGGCGATTACCCCTTAAGATTGGTGTTATTTTTTGTTAATTGTGGTACGTGAAAGCCGTGTACGCAAGGTGACGAGTGGATACACGGGCTAAATGTGGTAATTGACCGATTTAAGCTATGTAGACTCTTTTGATACCTTTAGTTAAATTGTCATAACATGCTATATTCATCATCATTAATCTAGCCTTACATGCTTTACTTGACATTGTTAATACTTGTCTCATCTCTTACTTGTTATTTTCCCTTACACGCTTAGTTGAAGTTACTATTTCCTTATTGGCTTGTTAAATATTCAACTATTGAGTTGCCTTACTTGAAGTTGTTATTTCTTGGAGTATCTCATTGTTGAGTTTGGTGTTGAAGCTGTAAAAGTCGTGATCACATTGAGGCAAAGTTGTAAGTTGTTGAAATACCCTTCTTGTTAAGCCATTCACTTTCGGTTGCTATTGTTGAGACTCTTGTTCACATTGTCGTTTAGCCATGGGCTATTTATTGTGGAAATATAGTTATTGTTGACTTCTTTGGCAAGCAGTGGTTTTGGACGCTTGAGGTGAGATTTGTTATGTATTGTGATATTGATACACATGCGGTGGTATAAGGATAAGGGTTGATACGCATGCGGTGAGATAAGGTGGGCTCGATACGTGTATTGCTAGTAAGGGAACTACTTGAAGCCACGTGGTATGATAACGTGGGCTAAAACGCGGGTAGCTATTTTGGAAAAAAATTATTTTTAAAACTAGATGCAAGGCTCCGCGATAGGAAAGATTGTGATTGTGATTGTGAAATAAGATACGAGGCGGTACTGCGGACATAATTCTTGTTGTTCTTTTATTTACATCACCTGTGTTTTGTTTGCATCATTTCCTTGGTGTTCTTATTAGGTGTTTTCCTACCTTGATGCCTTTATTGCCTTAACTTTTGATGTAGCTTATCTTGTTGTATTTCTTCATTGTTTCATTCCTTGTTTCCATGATTATATTGTATCATACATGTTCAGCTTCATTATTTATTCCAGTAGGTGTCTTGACCTGACCTCGTCACCACTCTACCGAGGTTAGACTTTATACTTATTGGGTATAATTGTGGTGTACTAATACTACGCTTCTGCACATCTTTTTGTGCAGATCCAGGTACTTCATACCAACCAAGGCATTTGTGAGTTGAGCTTGGATCGGAGACTTCAAGGTATACCTGCCCGCGTTTGCAGGCCTCGGAGCCACCATTTATCTTAGTTTCTATTGCATACTCCTATTATAGATATTGATGTATTAGGAATGTTTTAGTATACTCATGTAGAATTTGTGACTCGGTCTCATCAGATTTTGGGTTCTATTTTAAGTTGTATTGTAGAGTCCTTTTTATGATAGATGTTGGTTTAATTGGAAGTTTGTTATTATTTTTGTTAATTCTTCATCTATGTTAGGTTTACCTAGTCTTAGATACTAGGTGCCATCATGACATCCTATAGAGAGAGATTGGGGTCGTGACAAGTTGTATAAGAGCTCTAGGTTCATAGGTGTTACAAGTCATAAGCAGGTTTAGTAAAGTCTTGCGGATCGGTACGGAGAAGTTTGTACTTATCTTCGAGAGGCTATGGATTTGTTAGGAAACTTTACTTCTTTGATTTATCATGCGAATTTGTTGACTTCGAAAATTCTAAATCTTTATTTTTCTATTCTCTCACAGATGGTAAGGACACGCATCGCTGGATCCGATGATCAGACACCCGCGCCCCCTGCTAGAGCCGTGAGAGGCTTGGGCTGGGGCAGAGGCCGAGGAGAGGCACGTGGTGCATCTAGAGCACCTGCCTGAGCTATGACTGAGGAGCCACCAGTAGCTCCAGTTGGGGGGAAAGCACCTGAGGCACATGTTGCCACCCCTGCACTTCAGGAGACCCTCGCATAGTTCTTGAGCATGTTTGGTACTCTAGCTCAGGCGGGGTTGATTCAACTTGCACCAGCCACATCTCAGGCTGGGGGAGGAGCTCAGACTCTCGCGACCCGTAACCTAGAGCAGCAGGTCCATGTTGACCAGGTCCCAGAGGTTGTAACAGTGTACTCAGTTATTCCAGTTCAGCCTGAGGTTAGGGCAATAACATCTAAGGAGGTGCAACTTAGACTTGAGAGGTAAAAGAAGTACCACCCTCCTACTTTCAGCGGCCTAGCTACAGAGGATGTACTGGGTTTTCTGGAGAAGTGCCACTACATTCTCTGCACCATGGGTGTTGTGGAGACGAGCGGAGTTGCTTTTAGTACATTCCAGCTGTCGAGACCAACGTATCAGTGGTGGCGGACTTACAAGGAGGGCAGCCCAGTCGATGCAACTTCACTCACATGGGCTCATTTTTTAGAGATGTTCTTGAGAGATTTTCCTAGAGCCTTCAGGATGCATGGCGCATAGAGTTTGAGCAGCTGCACCAGAGTAATTATCAGATTCAGTGAGTTGTCTAGACATGCACCTGCCTTGGTTTCCATAGTTAGAGAGCGAGCCTGTCGAGTTATTGAGAGGCTTAAATATGGTATTAGATTCGACATGGCTCGAGAGTCAGAGACAGATACCTCATATCAGCAGGTAGTAGAGATTGCATGGAGATTAGAGGATATGCTGGGCCGGGAGAGAGAGGACAGGGAGGCCAAGAGGCCTCAAAATTCTGGCGGATATAGTGGTGCCTGTGCCCCAGTTGCATCCCATCATGGTAGAGGCTATGTGAGTTGTCCAGTTCAATCAGCACTTCCAGCTTCCAGTAGTACTCCGGCTACTCCCAGGTTTTAGGTTGCACATTATACAACCGCCAATGTCTAGTGCATCTCCTGCGTGGGTCGCTTTCAGTGGTCAGTCCAATAGACC